CAACCACTGAAGACAAAGCGGGTGAATAAGCAAATGTGGTGAAGAAAGCTGATGGTGCCCGGCTATCAAAAGATATAGTGTCTGGGGTTTTAAAAGCTTGAAGGTAAACAAGTGGCTATCTAGCTCAGAAGCAACAAAGCCCACATGGAAGAACATATTAGCCTGTGTGAATTATGTTTTATGCTTCTAAGATTCACATTCTTTTTGTGAAATTCCTTTTATTATTATTCTGATGGCTCTGCATGGTGTCTAGGGACACACACATACATGGTTTTTTTCTGCACGCCTTATTGCATATATAAACTATGCATATATTGAATGAAATATGAGCCCAGGATCCTAGGTCCCAGAAGTCATTCATGATTGGCCTTCTCACCTACAAATTGGAAAATGGAACACATGCAGCTGCTCTGCAAAGAGAGGCCTGGATAACTCTATAAAGAGTACAGCCAAGGAAACTCTAGGGCAGCGGTTCTCAACCTGTGGGTCGTGACCCCTTTGGGGGTCGAATAACCCTTTCACAGGGGTTGCCTAAGACCATCGGAAAATATGTAATTCCCGATGGTCTTAGGAACCAAGACACCACTCCTTTATCCAGGTGGGTCCACCCACCTGCAGATACACCCACATATGAGTATCTAGAGTGAAGACTATGACCCATGCTACACCATGCTTCAAGACAAGATTTCATTAATTTGTCATTAGAAATAAATATTTCACAATATATAATTACATATTGCTTTTTTGATTAATCACTAGGCTTTAATTATGTTCAGTTTGTAACAATGTAAATACATCCTGCATATCAGATATTTACATGACGATTCATAACAATAGCAAAATTACAGTGATGAAGTAGCAACAAAAATAATTTTATGGTTGGGGGCCACCACCACACGGGGACCTATATGACAGGGTCACGGCAGAAGGAAGGTTGAGAAGTGCTGCTCTAGTGGGTAATGCATGGGGTTGCCGTGAATTGAGAGCTGACTTGCTGCCCGTAGATAATGGCAACACGAACCCAGTATAGAGCCATAAGAGCTTCCTTTTGAGAAAATAAAGTAACTTATATAAACAACCTTTCCTTTTTACCCTATCATTCTTCCAGCTCACATTTCATAGTGCAGTAAGGCCACACTGCCCCCAGTCTGTACCTGTTTTTCACTGTCTCCCAGCAGTGCTTAAACTTAAAGTGTTGTACGTGGACATCACAGCTGCAAACAGGCTTTAAAGTTGAACTTTTCCAGATTGTCTGCTTTGGGTCCGCTGCAAGCTCAATATGCTACCTTAACCAAGTCCATATGCTTCCAATAAACACTGTGCTTCATACAACATCATCTCCTAAAACATCTTTCCAGTTTAAAGAATTATTTACACCACCACATTTGGCAAAAACAGGGCCTTTTGCAGCCTGGGAGTCTCTTTCAGCTCACGTTAAACCCCTTGGTTTCTCCAGCTCCTTTTTGGGCTAACGGTCCCAGATCGGATTATTGTGTGGCAAATGAAACCGTAGGGATGCTCTGTCCTATCGTGGTGACATTATGTAAGCTTTGACAGCACTATAAAACCTTGGGTGGCGTTGTCTATGTGATTGCCCTTGGCCACATGAGTCATTTTTCAACAGTATGACCCCACACACTCACCATAAATTAGCCACACTCTGAGTCAGACTGCGACTGGATCTACCTCCTGTGCCAATTTGAGGCCAAGCTTTTGCGCCTCTTTTGCAATCTTAGAATGTCAAGTTTATTTATCTTTTAGAAGGAAGTTTTCGAAGTTCAGACTCCAAGATGCATGGGTTATCAGAGAGCCCACACAGGTCACAACCCTGAAGGGGGAGTGCCTTTGGTTTGGCCGTGGACTTGGCGAGTAACTTGCTGCAAGAGGTGGCTGAGCCTGAGCTGGAAGTGAGTGAGTGTTGCTTGTGATCCCCAGGACATGTACGATGAACTGATGGTGACCATTGGCTCCCGGCGGAGTGGCCTGAACCAGAACCTTGCACTCAAAAGCCAATATGAGAGAGCCTTGCAGGACCTGGCTGATCTGCTAGAAACTGGACGAGAGAAAATGGCGGGAGACCAGAAAGTGATTGTGTCTTCCAAAGAGGAAGTCCAACAGCTGCTTGACAAGCATAAGGTAAACAAAAAAGGAACGAAAGACTAAAAATCCAAGAAAATAAAAAGAAGTAGGTTTGTGAATCTATACCCGCATGCTCTCACTCCTAGTATATATTTCATAAAATGCATGATTCTTTATCTTTTTTGACCCCCCATGTGACATTTGAAAATGGCCATCAAAGGTATCTTCAAATGCACCCGACAATAGCCCAGAGGCATCATAAGTGGATCTGCCCTACCCTTTTATAAATTAAAAAAAGAAAATCACTTCCCCTCAGTTTCGTATGCTGTTCCTCACTATCATTGGCGTTGCCTTAATAGGTGCTACTTAGTTCGTCCCATCTCACCAGGACCCTGCGCACAACAGAGTGTAATAGTGCCTGCACCATCCTCACCACTGTACTTCTGCTTGAGCTCATTGTGGGACCCACTGTGCCCATCCATCGCCTTGAGGGTCTTCCTCTTTTTCCATGCCCCTCCACTTTACCAAGAATGGTGTCCTTCTCCGGGAACTGGTTTCTCCTGACAACATGTCCAAAGTATGTAAGACAAAGTCTTATCATTCCTTGCCTCTGAGGGCCACTCCAGCTGTCCTTCTTCCCACGTACTCATGTTTGCCCTTTCGACAGCCTCTGGAACTTTCAGCAGCCCTTGCTGGCACCATTAGCCAGGTTGTTTCCCTTCAAAAATTACCATCAGAGTACGGCTCAGTGGCTTGCACAGAAAAAGCCATGCTCCATTCTTCAATCTGGTTTTCTTTTGTTTCCCCTTATGCATGTTTACACAGGTGTATTCATCTAGTCCTAGTTATTCCCAATGCCTTTATTTGGTCCAATCAGAAACCACCCCTCATCTCTGGGCTCAGGTACCTGTGACCTGCACCATCAGCTCTTCTGACCTGTACACATACTCTCTGGGAGCTGTTCTAGGCATTGCTTTCTCCTTGGGCAGAATCTCTTACTGCCTAATTTTCCTGGGAAAGCCTGCTGCTGCTCCCTCCAGCCTGCCAAGACCAAACCCAGGTCCAACACTATTCCTTTGTGAGGAAATGCCAGCTTCACACACAATAACTCTCATGTTGTTAGCAATGGTTCTGGAAAGCACAACCTTGCCTCCAGAGACCCAATCTCCCAGACAATAGGAAGTTTCTGGAGCAAAACTTATAAAACTTATTGGGTTCTAGACGGTTAATATATTCTACCATGATGTGGATCTCTGGTGGCTTCTAAGGGTGGGTTTCTTTTTCAATTGTACTTCATGCTGTCACCAACCCCTACACTCCTGAGATTTTGGTCCAAACTTCATGATTTATGAAAGCCTTATCATTTGGCTTTTCTAATGTTGCTTTCAAGTCCACAGCTGTTTTTCCTCCAATCTTTGAGCCTAGCAATAAAAGATCCTTCTGAGCTCTTCCAGCAGGAAAGCTGGGGGAAGAATCTGGAACAGTGGAGGCTGCCATTGAGGAGACACGGTGTTGGACTGAGAAACCCTGTGGGCCCCTCAGTGGTTAGAGGGGCTATCGCAGGAGTCTCAGCTCGGGGTGAATGTTAGGCTAGGTGACACCATGGTCTCTTCCATACTGAAGGTCCTATGCTCTGATGACCATCGGACCGCTTTCTGAGAGACCTGCTCTATAGTTGAGATCACAGATACAGCCGCATGAACACCAACCTAGCAGCTAGCTGTGAGTCAACTCTAGCACAAAGTGACCCCATGGGTGATGGAGTAGAACTGTGCTCCAAAGGAATTTCAGGGGATGGTTTTGCACAGATACATCTCTAGACCTGTCTTCCAAAGAGGCTCGGGCTAGACTTGAACCTCCACCCTCTGGTTAGCAGCTGTGTGTTAACTACTTGGACCGACCACAGCCACACTCAACCAACCAACCAAGCAACAAACCAACTGAAAATGTGGCCCTTGAGTTGATTCTGACCCATCGTGACTATAAAGGGCTGTAGAATTAGCCCCATAGGGTTTCCAAAGCTGTAATTTTTGCCAAAGGAACCCTAATAGCACCGTGGTTAGAGCACATAGCTGTTAACTGAAAGCTCAGTGGTTCAACTCACAAGCCACCCTGTGGAATAAAGAAATGACATCTGCTCTGTAAGGATTCCAACCCTGGAAGCCCTCTGGGGACAGTTGGTGCTCCTGTCCCCAGTATAGGGCACATATTTTCTCAAGGAGCTGCTGGTCGTTTGAATCACAGACTTTTCAGTCAGCGGCCAAGTGCCTGATCACTGTGCCACCAGGGATCCTTTTCCAGCCATTTGGTCTGGGTCCAAATCCATTCCTGCCTGCATTAATGACTGTTAGACTGTAGGCATGCTACAGAAGCTGGGTGGCTTCATGCCCTCACCCTAAGATGGGAAATAGAAGTCCTCACCGGACAAACTTGCTCCGAGGATTGAGCAAGTAGGTCAGGAGGTCAAGTGTGCAGCAAGTGCTCAGCAAATGGCGTGCAGTGAACCCTGCTAGGATAAGCCCCGCCCCTCCAGCTCTGTGGGTGCTGCTGGGGACAGAAAATGGGCTGTGCACCGTCCCATCCTCTGGAACCTTTGATACGTGAAAAGTGACATTTCAAGAACACGTGTAGGGTCACGACAGGACTGGTGCTCAGTGGTGGGGGGGTCTAATGGGTCGAAGACGACAGACCATGTAATGCCGATGGTCCGTGCCCAGCTGTGCTTGGCAGTGAGTGACTGGCTTGAGGAAAGACCCTTCAGTTCAGGAGCAGGGTGCAGGCGCCGCCCTGGAGCCAGGAAAGGCACCGAACGTGTCGAATGAGGACATCTCGGGAAGAACAGAGGGGAGCAGGGGCCGCTGGTGAGGCCCTGGGAGCTGAGTGTTTTGAGGGACGTGGGGTCCAGTTCGTGGGGTACGGCTAGTGGGGGCTGGAACCAGGAAACAGGCCAGGGGGTTCGAGGCCAGCAACAGGGTTTTCAGAGGTTGATAACAGATGAAGAGCTGATTTCTTTGGACTGTGTGTGTGTGTGTGTGTGTGTGTGTGTGTGTGTCTCACTCAGTGGAAGGCAGGAGTCCAGAGAGCCCCCTTCTTTGCAGGAAGCGAAGAGTCCCTGGAGTGAGGTGGGGGGTGCCTGTCTGATGGGGTCCGGTCAGCATGTTCAGCACATTTGATCAGTGAGTCTCTGACTTCTTTCTCCCTGAAACATTGCAGGAATACTTCCAGGGCCTGGAATCTCACATGATCCTGACAGAAACCCTCTTCCGGAAGATCATCAGCTTTGCAGGCCTCAGGGACCCGGAATTCCACACGGAAGTGATGACTGGGGCGTGCTCGGTCCTGAAACGGGCCCACAAGAGGGGCGTGGAACTGGAGTACATCCTGGAGGTGAGGCTGCTGCGGCGGCACCGTCCCTCCTGCAGAAGGGACCATGATGACGAGACAGGGCCAGCGCGCTGGCTACCTCCTGCCACCGTGGAGCTGGCTGTGCCCCAGGATTCAGCACTGAGCTGCTTCTGTGGTTCTCCTACCTACTGCCCCCAGAGTGCATACTGCTGTCTGGCCCAGTATCACCTGCTAAGGGTTTGGTGAATTTGAGTTTGTCTATCAGACCAGTAGCCTATTGAAGAGCACTAACAAAATGGAAAGATATCCCCGGCTCTGTTCAGAAGGCTCTTGGAATAAGACCTAGTCCTAGAGCCCCTAAGGCAGAGGCCAGCTCCCTGGCTTCCAGTCTTTGGACTTGGCACGCTGAAAGTGAAGGCTCTCTCTAGCAGAACAGAGAGCAACCTCTGAACTAGCCATTTGCAGTGATCGCACCTTGGGCGCCGCCATTGATGCTCAGCCTGGCTTGTCATGAGAGGCTGTTGTGAAGAGCCAATCACTCTCGTGTTGGCGTTCAGACACTCAGCACTTAACCAGCTGCCACGAGTTGGCCACACACTATGTTGTTGTTGTCAGGTGCCCTTGAGCCGATTCTGCCCCACAGTGACCCTAGCCACAACAGAGCGAAACCCGCCCGGTCCGGCACCATCCTCACAAATGGTTCCTATGCCTGAGCGCGTGGTTGCAGCCACTTTGCTGAGTGCCACCTCAGCGACGACCTTCCACTTTTCTTGCTGCCCCTCCACCAGACCAAGCATGAGGTCCTTCTCCAGGGACTGGTCGCTCCTGACCACATGTCCGAAGTAGGCAAAATGAAATCCCTACATCTTTGCCTCCAAGGAGCCCCTGGCTGTCCTTCCGACATCTCTCTGTCCTTGTAGCAGTCCATGATACGTTCAGTGTTTTTCTCCAGCGCCACGATTCAAATGCAACTGTTCTTCTTCGGTCTTCCGTGTTCAGTCCAACTTTCACACGCGTAGGCATGCACTACACAAACAAACAAACAAACAACACCACACTCACTGCCCTTGAGGTGGCTCTGCCCCCGGAGTCTCCAAGATGGAGTGGCTTGTTTGGGCAGCAGCCTTTCCCGTACGCAGCCCCGTGTTTAACCCACTGTGCCCCCACTCATTGGATAGGAAACAAGGCTCCAGAAAGCCAAGGACTGCTGGGCCCTGACTGTCCTGAGAAGCCCGTGCTATCGAGTGGGGCAGCAGGCAAAGCCCGCAGGCCCGTAACGCAAGCTGGCAAGTCAGTTCACAGAAAGACACGCTATTCGGTAGGGTAGCTCTTAGATGCCAAGGGTTGCCGATCATGAGACCCAGGGGTGATGTCGTCTGAAACGAAGGCCCCAGATCTATCCTTGAGAGCAGGGTTGGGTCTCGCTGCAGCCCACTGCCTGCGTTTGCAAACGGAGTGTTCCTGGAACAGAGAGGGGTTTGTCTGTATACGCACTGTGTGGCTGTGTACCCACGACAATTGCAGGGGTGGGCGTGGGCGAGTAGTTACAGCGGCACTGGAAATACTTAATACCTAGGGGAATAATGGAAGGCATTTGTGGGGCTCTGCCCTGAGTCAGACTTGCCTGGAGTCCTAGCCTCACCCCAAGTAGAAGTGCACAGGAGGGGCTTCCTGGTGATCTTTAAAAGCCCGTGACAACCCCAGGCATCACGGATAGAGCAGTCGCTGCCTGTCCCCACGGACTAATCCTACAACTTGCCTTAAACTGCTCCTGTTTTCTCATTCTTGATTTCCACCAGAGTTTCGGGGATCACAATCTCTCTCTCTTGCACCTTGTTCTCTGCTCCGTATTACCAGCCTTACCAAAACTGCCTAGAGGTCATAGTTACAGGGCTGTGTAGATTTTCTGCCCGGGACCAAAGGGAGCCCAGCTAGCTAACCGCCAGGATCCTACAGACATGGCATTCCCCACCAGGCTGTCATTTGGAGACAATTTTATCTTTAATACTCGAAACATTTGCAGGAGTAGGTACCTCTCCTTGATAGGCCAGCACCCTGGCTAGGCTGTTGGCATGGGAATTCGGGCATCTTCTCCTTAACCCCCATGTTGGCATTGTCAACCTCTGGCTGAGAGACGCACATCAGAGCCGCTTGTTGCTAAGGCACAAGATGAAGCTCTGTGTGGCAGAGGTAGAAGCGAAAGTCATGGGATAAGAAATCTCATCCTCTGGCAAGGGCATTTTCGTTCACCTTCCACCATTGGCTTCCTAGACATGGACCCGGCTGGGAGAAGACCATCAGGAGCTCAGCAGACAGCTGGAGGTGGTGGAGAACAGCATCCCCAGCGTGGGTTTGGTGGAAGAGAGCGAAGACCGGCTCATCGATCGGATCACACTCTACCAGGTCAGCCCACAACTAGGCATCCTGGTATCCCCGTTGCTCTATTTCCCAGTGGAACTTTCTGATTGTCTTCATGGCATCTAATACAGCTCCTGATGAAGTATTTTATTATGTGCTTTCATTTTCTGGAGTGGTTGGTAACTGTTGGAATTCACCAAGGAGGAAAGATGTGCAGAGCCTGGTGCATCGAGCTCACACCAAAGACTACACTTGTGCTTCTAACTGAACCCAAGAGCGCCTTCTGAAAATGGGCCTCCCACTAAATCATTTTCCATAGTTTAGGCTAATCGTTGCAATCATCGCGAAATGATTGTCATCTGATCATTTTAAATGCACCCACCTAACGTGTACTACACTTCCAAAAATGAAATAAATGGAAATGAGGGAGAGAGTGAGTGCAGCGCCTCGACATCTTCCCTGGTACTTAGAAGTCTACTTTTGAATGGAGATTACGGCATTATACTCTCAGGGAGAAAAATGGCACTCTACAAACTTCTAACTGGCCTTTTTCCGTGTTTCCAGCATTTGAAGTCCAGCCTTAATGAACACCAGCCCAAGTTGTGTCAGGTCCTAGATGACGGGAAGCGGCTTCTGCTCTCCGTTAGCTGCTCAGCTCTAGAAAGCCAGCTCACGCACCTGGGAGAATCCTGGCTGACCAACACCAGCAAAGTGGCCAAGGAGCTGCACAGACTGGAGACGATATTGAAACACTGGACCAGGTAGTGTCACGACCCACTTGTTTACTGTTAGGTTGGTGCTACCGAGGATCTATCGGTCAGTAGGTGCCAGGTTTGAAAAGAGATGTTTCTGCAAGCAGCGTACCGGATAGTTTGGAAAAGAACGATAAACACAAAAGCCTACTTGGGGTCTGGTACCATCCGGTACAGAAGTAGTTAAAAGTGGGCAGGGAAGCAGGTGCCCCGTGTAACCATCTTTCTCTCCTGCCTTGTTTTGTGGGATGCCTGGTGAGTTGATTTGGACTCAGCAGTCCATGTACAGAGTAGCACTCCCTCACAGGGGTTCCTGGGCTGTGTGATCATAATGGAGAAGATCAACTGGTCTATTCTCCATCCGTGCCTCCAAGTGGGTTCCCATCTTTGAAGAGCTCTTAACGCTTACATGACTAGGGCTCCTGGCCTATTAACGGCATGTGAACATGTAGATTTCAAAGAATAAGAGAGTCAAGGGTAACAGGAAGTATCCAAGAAAAGATGAGAGTTGATTTTTATATAACTAAAAGCTCTGTGTCTGTGTCCTCTTTATTTCAGAGAAACTTTGTAATCCTCGTGTCCCTACCTCCCACCCTCTTTTTTTTAATTTATCAAAATCACTTCCATGTAATGGAATTGGAGAAAGGTGGTTTTTAAAAATTTATTTATTCAGTGTAGAGATAAAAAGCAAAACTAAACTCACTGCATCGAGTCAATTCGGATTCTTAGAGACCCTATAGGTCGGGCTGCCCCTGTGGGTTGGGAAGATTCTAACAATGCACAGAAGTGGGGATTCTCATCTTTCTCCTGACAAGCGGTTGGTGGTTTCAAACTATCGACCTTGTGGAGAGCAGACCAACACATAACTCACAACTCCACCGGGGCTCCTAGTGTAGAGATCAGAAAGTTAAAACCCAGACAGACTGACTTCCATAAGATGTAACCATTAAGAGAAGAGACTCCGGGGGGTGGCGACCAGCACATTTTTCAACTAAATCTGCCTTTTCTCCTTTGAAAACCACTGTCGGCATCAGGGGTGGTATGGGTTTGCAGAGACAGAGCTTGGGTACTTGCTTAATAGACCCATTGATGTGTTGACAGATACCTGAGTGACTCCGCAGCTATGACCCACTGGCTGCAATCTGCAAAAGACAGGCTCGAATTTTGGTCCCAGCAATCTGTGACAGTCCCGCAAGAACTGGAGATGGTCCGTGACCATCTGAATGCGTTCCTGGTAAGCCTCAGAAACAACAGCGTCAGATGCAATTTTATTGTTAATACGAAGTTCAGACTCGTGCAAAAGTAAATGGAAATAAGCGAGGGGTGGACAGAACTTCATAAAGTAAGCTGTAAAGGATTTGTCAGTGGTAACTTTTTTATGTGCGTTCTATAATTATACAATTCATCTTGACATGATTGAAATACGGATTGATGTATGTGCTAAAGCCCAACTAATAGTAATAAAAAGCTATTATTATTCAAGATGGCAGGGTCACCTACTCCACAGGAAAGTAATTCTTAAGGAACGGGTTTCATTTGAGGATTTGTCAGGGGTTCTTTTGTTTCTCTCTACCATGTTCAGTGTCTCTCCCCCACCCCAGACATGGGTTGTTGTTGTTGTTGTTGTTGTCGTTAGGTGCCATTGAGTCACTTCCAGACGACACCAACCCTGTCCAGCACAGAATGAACCACTGCATGGTCCGTGCAATCGTTTCCATGCTTGAGCCCATGGTTGGAGCCCTGGTGTCCATCCATCTCCTTGAGAGCCTTCTTCTTTCTCGCTGCCCCTTCACTTTGCCAAGCAGGATGTCCTTCTCCAGGGACTGGTCTCTCTTTGACAACAGGCCCACAGTCTGTCAGACCACGTCCGGCCTTTCTTGCTGCTTTGGAGCACTCTGGCCAGACTTCTGCCAACACAGATTTGTCTGTCCTGTGAGCAGTCCGTGGTATTTGAAATACTCTTCTCCAGCACCACAATTCAAATGTGTCAATTCTTCTTTGATTTTCCTTATTGAATATTCAACTTTCACATGCATATGAGGAAAGCAAAAAGACCATGGCTTGGGTCAGGTGCACCTTAGCCCTCAAAGTACCATCATTGCTTTTCAATACTCTACGGAGTTCTTGTGCAGCAGATTTACCTAATGCAAGGCATTTACCTAATGCATCTCTTGACTGCTGCTTGCATGGGCAATGACTGGGGATCCAAGTAAGGCAAAAATCCTTGGTAATTTTTGGAGATGTAAGGAAAAAATTAGCTCAGGTCATGAATAGATCTCTTGCCTTTAATGAAAGGTCTGATGATTTCATCCTGATGATGTAAGCGTTGTTACTTCTTGCAGGAGTTTTCTAAAGACGTGGAGGCCAAGTCTTCCCTGAAATCATCTGTGCTGAGCACTGGGAACCAGCTTCTCCGATTAAAGAAGGTGGACACCGCTGCCCTGCGGTCGGAGCTGTCCCGCATTGAGAGCCAGTGGACTGAGCTGCTGACAAATATTCCTGTTGTACAGGAGAAGCTCCACCAGGTACAGAAATAACCATTGGGTTAGCGACCGGTGGTCGATTTAAATGCTGTTAACATGCCTTCAGGTGCTTGGGCTCACAAATCTAAATCAGCTTTGTCTTGGGCATCTTCTGCTTTTTTCTCCCTCTGTATTTTGTAAGGAATGGGACAGTTCTACAATGCTCTGCTCAAGTGGTGTGTGTGTGTGTGTGTGTGTGTGTGTTTTGAGAGTTTTGCCAGTTCTTGTTTCAGCTCCTACTTTCTCCTGGATAAAATCTAGGTAACAATGCCTTCCTCATAAAGGGAGTAGTTACGAAGATTTAATAGCCTACTATAGTTAAAAGACCTATTATCTTACCTACAATAGAGCAGCCAAATCAAACCAAACTCACTGCCGTGGAATCGATACTGACTCCTAGCAACCCTGTAGGACAGGGTAGATTTGCCCCTGTGGGCTTCTGAGACTGTGACTCGTTACAGGAGTAAAATGCTCTATCTTTTTCCATGGAGTAGCTGGTGGTTTTGAACTGCTGACCTTCTGGTGAGCAGTCCAATGCCACCAGGACTCCTTCAACAGAGCAGCAGGCCCTCAATAGATGTCAGTGCTCCTGTTGTCCTGATTACACCTCCCTCCCCTGGCAGTCACAGATATGTGATCTTCCTCTCTCTTAGGCACTCATCTGTGGATACCAAGTACCCTAGCTGTGGGTCTGATGCACCCGGCTGGCCCTTCTTGACCAGCAGCTCTGCATTTCCAATGGGCAGTGACTACGTCACATTCAACTGGGGGCCCTCAACACAGAGAACCTGAGCCATAAATACGTTAATTGACTGCTTTTTGTTCCCTTAAATATATAGTCACAATGAATGATATGCACTCATGTTTAATGTATGAAGTGAGAGTCAGGATTCTAAGTCCATTTCAGTAAAAGACAGGTAATTGGTGATGACTTTTGGAGTAAAAATTGAAGTGCCAAAACTCTAGAAAAGGGGAGATCATAGTGTGGTATTTTTCTTTCTTCTTTTCACAATCCTGAGTCATAATACACAAGAGATTTTACAAGAAAATTAATGAAATACATCTGTTGAATAGTTGCTAGCTAAAATTTTTTTCAACTCATAAAACTAGTTGTAAGATAGGAATAATATTTTCTTATTTCTGGTGTTTTGATTAATCAGTTAGCGTTAATAGTATCAAATGTCTAGTGAACAAGAGGTGACTGTTATGTTTGCCTGACAGTTGGATGCGTCAAGGAGGGTTAAGATACCAAAACTGTGTGAGAAGGTACCATCTCTGTGGGTACATTGAGAGGAATTCATATAGAGTTTTTATACTAGCAGGAAGGGTGTTTGCATTTTTTTTTTAATGCTTTCGACTGGTCCTGATCTGTCTTGGACAGCTGCAAATGGATAAGCTGCCTTCCCGCCATGCCATTACTGAAGTCATGAGTTGGATTTCCCTAATGGAAAATGTCATTCAAAAGGATGAAGAGAATATAAAACATGCCATAGGTTACAAAGTAATTCATGAATACCTTCAGAAATACAAGGTAAGGAAACATGTTAGGTTTTAGCTATTCATGTCTTTAAATCATTTGAGTTAAAATGATTTAGGTTACAAAGTAATTCATGAATACCTTCAGAAATACAAGGTAAGGAAACATGTTGGGTTTTAACTATTCATGTTTTTAAATCATTTGAGTTAAAACAATCTAAACACTCAAACCATGAACAACAGAACCTGGAGTTTATGGTCTATACTTAGTGATCACAGATGAGCAGGAAGCAAGAAAACTTACATATGGGCATGGAAAAGTCATGCAGTATTGGTGTGTTTGTCTGAGTTGACTAGAGAAACAAATTCAGAGACACCCATATGTGTATAAGAAAGAGCTTTATATCAAAGAGTAATTGCATATTAAGAAAACATTCCAGCCCATCCAGATCAAGTGCCTAAGATATTGGCTCATATGTTCAATACCAGTCTATAAATTCCTCTTCAGACTCATGCCACATGCAATGATGCCAAATGCAGGAAGATCACAGGCCGATGGGTGGAAAGTCTTGGTGGATTCAGTGGAGGTGGAAGTATCTCAGTGCTGGCATGGGTCTCCATGTGGCTCCTCCAGCTCTAGGGCTCTGATTTCATCAGGGAGCTCCATGTGCCTTGTCAGCAGGAATGTCTCCCAGGAAGACAAAGCAGAGAGGGTGTGTCTGGCCTCCAGTGAGCAATTTATCTCCATCATGCCTTCAAATGAGGTCATCAAGCTGTGATGTGATTGGCAGGCTAGACTCCACCCCTTCCTCAGGTTAACAGTAGATTATGTAACTCCCACAATTGGCAACAGATATTGAACAAAACATTGTGCCATTTAGGAAATAATAAACAGATTTTCAATGTCCTCATACTGAGGTTGTAAACTTTTCCTAGTCTGCATCCTACACTTCCCATGTAAGCTTACATAAGACATCAGTTGTTACGTATGTTTTTAATTATTGTCGTGCTAATTTCAACTCCGGAGGACCCTCTATGGACAGAGTAGAAGGACGTTCTAGGGTTTCCAGGCTGCGACATTTTTAGAAAGAGATGACCAGGTCTGTCCTTCAAGGTGCTTCTGAGTGAAGTCGAGTCACTAACCTTTTGTGTATTAGACGAGCACTTCCTGACTTGCAGTGTGTGTGTGTGTGTGTGTGTGTGTGTGTGTGTGACACAGGACCAGGCCGTGTTTCATTCTGTTGCACACACAGCCTCTATGAGTTGGAGCAGACTTGATAGCACCTAATAGCAGTCAAACGTGACTTCGTGGTGAGGTGTGGGGCTGCTGCTAACTCTGCGGTTTGAAACCACCACACGCTCTGGGAGAGAAAGAGCAGGCTTTCTAGCCCTCTAAGGACTCACAAACTTGGAAACCCGCAAGGGCGGTTGTACTCTATCCTATAGGGTCACTATGAGTCAGAATCAACATGATGCCGTGACTACATTTACATATCTGTAAACACACACACACACAAAGGGGCTTCAAAATATTTGTGGAAAAATCTCATTATCTTTAAATTCCATTTTCCCAATAACTTTTGAAGCTCCAACATACATGTTATATTACATTCTACATATATCACATTTATATAAGAAAGACATTCCCACCAAGTCCTGCTCACTCATAGCGACCCTATAGGACAGAGTTGAACCGCCCCATGGGGTTTCCAAGGCTGTACACTTTACAGATGCTGACTGAGACCTCTTTCTCCATGGATGCTGCTGGTGGGTTCAAACTGCCAACCTTTTGGTTAGCGGTTGCACCACTAGAGCTTCTCATCCATACATCCACACATACATATCTCACCACACACACACACACACACACACACACACACACACACACACGGACTTCTGAAACTGATCCATGTCAATATCATGGCTGTGCCATTCGGACTCAGTCATGGCTGTGGTACATTAATATAGAAGGTTACTTAAGGTTTTCAAACTCCGATAACATGTGTGCCTTTGGCTTCTCCCCATGCTCTCCTTCTGTAGGGCTTTAAGATAGACATTAACTGCAAACAGTTGACAGTAGACTTTGTGAACCAGTCCGTGCTTCAGATCAGCAGTCAAGACGTGGAAAGTAAGCGCAGCGATAAGACTGATTTTGCGGAGCAACTTGGTGCAATGAATAAAAGTTGGCAAATCCTGCAGAGTCTAGTAACTGAAAAGGTAAGCCAAGTGGCCTGCTGCTCTCTCTAGTTGCATGAAAATACCGAGAACAGCGTCTGTTATGTGGCGTGTAACGATGAAGATAAAACTCATTTAATGAGGGGCACAGCCATCCGGGTCCTGGATTCTTCTGGGAACGCTACCCAAGAAACATCGCTCTGCCTTTAGGCCTGTGAGTGATGATGATGATGATGACTCCGCTACTCTATATATTACATGGTACTCCTCATTTTATAAAGTACCTCTTACTTTATTTGACCTTTTCTCCAGGTTGACTTAAGTTCTGCCTCTGATTACCAAAAATGGCCATTGATTCATGCTTTGTAAGATTCAATTTTGTGTTTACCATCTATGAAGACACTTCTAAGATGGTGGGGGAAAAATGAGATTAAAGACTAACACTAAAAATTAGAACTTCATATCTCAACATAAGCTCCACCAAGGTCAAGACACATTTGTAAGCAGCACTACCAGCCATGTAGGCCATTCCTGAGGCGCTGTCAGTGCCGTCTGCTTGACATTATTAGCTGAGGAAAAATGGGAGCCCTTTGGAGACTTTTTTTTTAAGATTAGGAAACAATAGGAGGCTAGACGTAGGCAAATCAGGACTGTAAATTGGATGCCCGATGCTTTCATGTTGAAATTCTCACAAAATTTCTCATTTGATTAGAGGAATGAGCAGGAGGCTTGTTATGGTGGGGAAAGATTCTGGTGACACTTTCCTGCATATTTTTTGCTAGTTTGGTTAACTTTCATAGAATGAACAGATAATAAACACTCATATAATGAACAGATGTTACCATTCTTTGGTCCCCCAGAAAGTCAACAAGCAAAATCCCTGGAGCAGCTCAAAAACGTGTTGCCAGGACCTGTCTTCTTGACTCATCCGTCTCCACCTCATGGTGGCCATTACTTTGTGTTTTGTTTCCAGTTTGGATCGTACTTGAAAAACCATGCCTCATCTTCTACAATTCTTCTGAGACATGCTTCAGGATCTTGAATCCACTTGTTTAAAATTCCCATCCAAAGCTTTACTCTTGTCTGCAGCTGATTTGGGGACAACCGTTTTGGCACCCACCGAGCAGAAAATTTGCTTTACTTTAATTTTTCAGTCAGAACTGTGTACACCAGACCCATTGTGATGTTTATAGTTGGCTGTTGTTTCTGCTCTTAATTGTCAGACCTCTTCAATTAGAGCCCAAACAAGATTGATTCTTTTCCTTGCAAACTGATGTGCCTGGTCTGCCACGGTGGGCTTCACTTTCAGCATTGCCTTTTCCCTTTTTAAAATGAGTTATCCATGTGTATGCTGCTAATTTCATTGTTCCCATGAACTTTTAGTAAATCACCAGTCTCCCACCCAAGCTTCATTATGAACTTAATGTTTGTTCCTGTTTCCTTTTTAACAGAATTCACTTTGCTCTCAGAGGGGCCGCTTTTCAAATGTATCTTATCCTTTTCGTGTCTCCAATGTTGTTCAGACATGTTACAAAAAATAATATAAGTTTATTTTAGGGCCCCCAATTTTTTTATTGAATCATCTTAGTGGAAGTTCTCACAGCTACCATAACATTCCATAGTTCAAATACATCAAGCAGTATTGTACAATTGCTACCACAATCAGTTTCAAAACATTTTCTTTTGTCTTGAACTCCTTGATAACAGCTCCCCGTTGTGCATAAACTTTTGGAAGACCCTTCATATTCCAAGAACTGTGTTCTGGTCAGGTTGGGGTTATGCATTAGGCTTCCACACATGAGATGAGCAGCCGTAAACCATCAGCTGAGCCACAGGATAAAGATGAGGCTTTCTGCTCTCAGAAAGATTTACCGTCTCAAAATCCCACAGAGGCAGTTCTACCCTGCCCTACAAATTACTGTGAGTCAGAATTGACTGGATGGCAGGGTGTATGTTTGTTTTTCTTTTCTTACCTTTTTGTTTTGGTTTAATTGGGGTAAAAGCTCAAATCGTGTAGACTACTACTCAGTCATAGAGAGAAATAACGCCCTGACCTGTTTCACAACCTGGATGAACCTTGAATACATGCTGGGTGCAGTCAGTCAGACACTAGGACAAATGCTCTATAGTCCCGCATATCTGAAGTATTTTGGAATGGACAGATGCATAAGGACAGAAATGTGCTGATGTTTACCAGGATCTGCGGTTGGATGGTGGTGAGGAGAGAATGAGGGGCACTGAGTTTTGGCTTCAGGACGGCGGAAAACATGTGAAATGGAATACTGATGATAGTTGTGCAGCATGGTGAATGCCATTGCCTGAAAGTGGCTGAAATAGCAAATGTATTGTTCCACACAATTTGCCACAATAAAAAATTACTACATTTAGAGAAAACATTGGCTAGAGTAATTTGCCTGCAAATGATTTGATTTTCAATACAGTTGCAAATGTCATTTCGTTCTGTTTGTCTAGGTCCAGTTGCTGGAAGGCCTTTTGGAATCTTGGTCAGATTATGACAACAATGTGCAAAGTTTGAAAACTTGGTTTGAAACTCAGGAGAAACGACTAAACCAACAACAGCAAATTGGAGATCAGGCTTCAGTTCAGAATGCAATAAAAGACTGTCAGGTACGGTGGCTGGGGGCGGACACACACAATCTGATGTCACCCATTCACAGGATGTGGTGCATTGTAGGAGGTGGGGGTAGTTGGGGGTGGGATGGGAGGGAGTTGGAATTTCCAGACCCTGATGGAAGAATTCAATTTTGGAGGAATTAGATGTGTGTTTGAAACCAAGTTTCCCTGGTTTTGCACATATAGAGAGTTTTTAAAGTCTTGTTTTTTGCACCTGTGTTTTTAAATTTGGAATTTGTGAAGCTTCTCAAGAGCATTGGTAAGTAGAGAGAATCCCTGTATATCAGTCACAGAATTTAGTGCTTAAAGGTTTTCACACGTTAGGCCGAATTCTTTTTATCCATAAGATTTTCATAGAAACCCAGACATCACATTGTTTTATTCCTATGTACTCTTAAGATGCATCTCTAAATGTCACATTTTCTTATATCACCACTAAAATTTTAGTAATAATTCCTTCCTATTTAAGGCTCAATCAAAAATCACAAGTCCTCCATTATCTTTAATAATGTCTTTTTTTTCAGTTGATTTGTTCTAATAGTCCACATTTTATATTGTTCTAAATGTCCACATAGTATATTTGCTTTTTGGGTGCCTTATGTCTGCTTATAACTGGTGGCATTGTGGATCACATATTGGACCGCTAAGCAGAAAGTTAGCAGTTTAAGCCCATTAGCCGAGGGGAAAAGATGAGCCTGTCGCCCCCAATGAAGATTTACAGCCTCAGAACCCCCAGGGAGCAATCCAGGGTTGCTATCAGTCGGAATCAACTTCCCTGCAGAGCCTTTGGATTATTAACTGTTGCGGAAAGTGTAGATTCATCAGCTCTCCTCTGAGCTTCCTGGGAGTGGGAGTAAGGACGAGAAGCTTCCTTGCCCTCGGGTTCAGAGCTTAAGGGCGAGGGCATTGTGGGGGCAGTGTTCCGTTCGGTTCACATGGAGATCCTCCATGGATGTGAGCGTCAGGGTTCAGGTGGAACCGCCTGGTTCTGCACCAAGCATTCCGGGTGATACATGCAACAGGAAATGAGAGGCAGCTCCTCTCCCAAATCTTGTGTTTCACAGTCTCCATTTCAAAACCAAAGGCTTTGGGCAATGCTCTCTTTCTCTCTCGCTCTTTTCTCCTGGGGGTGCAAATGTGAAGAGAGACACAATGAATTTCCCAACCACAGCTTTTAAACCCAGAAAAAAAACAGATGGACACTGTTTGGGCTGGATCTCTTAGCCCATGGGCTACAGTTTTGAGGTGCATAAAAATGACAAGGGAAAAAAATACCATATAGAGAAATACCTTGGAAGAAAAGAAAAAAAAAGACCTCTCATCGGAAAATGAATGTGGAAAACACTAAAGACCACAGAAAAGTGTCCACTGGAGTCATAGGGTTACCAACTTTGCACATGTCCGTTCTATTTCTCAATAAGGCCAATAAATTCTATAGTCCACCAAGAAGCCAGCATCTCTTTTTTTCTTGTTCTTTCTCTTGAAAGGCTGAGAAAGCAGACTTCCTGACGAGTTCCTACATTAAAAGCTTCCCCATGAAATGTAAAGATACTTCCCAGTGTTGGCTTCAGCAAGACCAGCACTTCATGACAGTGCTGTGCTCTGCTCGGCTTTCGGAAAACCGGAAGCCTGCCTTGATGTGACTCCACTTGCGCTCCCTCCTTGCCTTGCCTCCTTTCCCTTTTCTTCCTGCTGTGTCTTTTCTTCTCTTTGCTTCTCCTGCTACATTCCATCTTTTCTCCTGTACCTCTCTTCTATTTAACAAAGCACACACTGCTATCTAGGAAACAGACCAGCAGTGCGACCAAGTTGGTCCACGTTTGGTTTAGCAGAGAAACAGGGCAGGCAGTGTCAAGAGCTGGAAAAATTCTTTGTTGTTGGACATCCTTGAGTTGATTGCAGCAGATCGCTGCTCAGAGCGTTTCCTGGGCTGTAATCTTCCTGGGAGCACTTTGCCATGTTTTCTCCCACAGAGTACATACACTAGGTACCTTCGAACTATCAAGCTTCTGGTTAGCAGTCCAGGGCTCCATACACGTGTTTTAAAGGACACTGTGCCGGGGCCAACACGCCTAGGCTGTGCTAGGAGTCAGTGTGCTCATGCATGGTCAGCAGTAACAGTGGGTTTCCCTGGGATTTCCAAATGGTCTGAGCGCTTGAACAAAGCCCAGTGATCCATTTCCATAAATCCAAGCCCAGTGATCCGTTTCTTTAAATCCGACAGCCAAGCAAAGCCATGAAGCTGTTCCACTCTGTCCCAAATGAGGTCACCGGGAGTCCGAATCCACTCCAGGGCCCTGGGCGTATTCATTGTCATTGGGTTTTTGGTTTTGGGAAAGCCCTGCCAAATGAAATGCCATTTGTGTCAAGTAGAAGGCACCGAAGGAAAGGAGCCCACCCGGTTATTTCAGGGAACTGCCTGCAGATCCTCTTAGCGCAGCTGGCAGCTTCCAGTTGGCACTACCACCGACCTTTATAAAATTTACTGTCCTTTGTGAGAAAGGGCTCCATGGGCCAAATGTGAAATTCAAGCCAGCTTGCGTAAGTCAGTGACGGGATGCAAGCTGGGTTTGACACAAAGTGTGAATATTTTTCCAGTCTTTTTGAGGTGACTCATGCATTTCAACCAACACAAAAGCTGATGTGGATGAATTGACCCAAGTTGATAATGATTTAGTATAACAAAATTCCATTTGACTTGTCTTTTCACTGATCAGAGATGGAGCCACCGTTTAATTATTATTGAAAGGGAAAGAAAAGCACACCTTTGCCACAGAAGGTGGATTTTAATCCTGTTTCCCACCTAGGCTTTGCACATATGCCGATTTCAATACGTAGAGCATTTCAGACATGTGTTTTTAATAAATGGATGCTTTGGTTCATGTCCGTCTTGAAGGTAATAGCTGTGGGTCAGCAAGGGCACATTTCGTGTTCAGCAGTCCAACATTTTACTCACCCGAAAGCCATTGAGAAGGTCGTCAGTCATTTTAAAAACCCATTAGATAAATAAATTGAAAATCCCGAAATAACAAATTTAATGATACTTTCTATATTGAATAAAAGACCTTTAACCCAATAATAACTATATTCCTTCTGGATGATTATCAAAGCTGTCAAAGTATGAGCTGAATTATAAAGTGGAAATGAGAGAATATTAAAAGCAGAATGATCTCCTTAATAATTACTGCATAGTAACAATTACTAGAAGTCAGTAGCCTCAGAGGCTTGGGTTCTCATCCCATGTTAGACACCCACCAGCTCTGTGACCCCAGTGAGCTTTATGACTTGAATGACATGCGATTTCAGCCCACCTGGATGAAATTTTCAGTTTCAGATGTTATTAAGATGTATGTTTGGATTATGATGTAGATTTAATTCAGTATCAGCTCAAAATATGTCCCATTTTATATGTTTCTTGAGCAATTCATATGAACAGATTTAATCCATGAAGAAAAAGATAACACAAAGCATGCTACCACTTCCAAACATAATTTCTCTCCTTGGAGGAAAAAAAAACCATACATATATCTATTTCTTTATCTTATAGATAATCAATGTTTACATTTTAAAGTTCTGCCAGTTTCTCACAGGATTAAAACAAAAGAACACATCTTAAGGTTTTAAAAAATTTATTATTTTATTGTCCAAAAAAATAAAACTCTGAAGACCCTCTTCTGAGAATCATTTTGGAGTGACCTGGGCTAATAATAGATGTGTGGGCCGTGAGATCACCGGGGCTGACTTTCACTGTACCCCCACAGAGTCCTATAAATGAACAATTTTAAATGACCGGCAACATTTTTTAAAACCTTTCAGGATCTGGAAGATTTGATTAAAGCAAAGGAAAGAGACGTAGAGGCCGTTGAACAGAATGGATTTGCTTTGATTCAGAACAAGAAAGAAGCAGTGACGGGGGGTGTCAGGTGCACGCTGCGGGAACTTGCCCAGACCTGGGCAGATCTGGACCACAAGGTAATGTTGCGTATGCCGAGTGGATGCCAACCAAGGCCATGTTGGGCAGCTTGCATTCTAATCTAGGTTCAGGTTTCATCAGCGTTTCTGAGCAGTAATGATCAAATCTAAGCGTCTCCTCTTTATACTGTTAAATCTACTTTATTTACCTCTGAAAAATAGCAATACCAGCAGCTCTAGCGTCTAGACTCTGCTATGAAGGAAGCTTTATTATCTTTCGTTCACTTTGTCCATGCCCGTGGTGATCAACATCATCTAAGCACAGGCAATTCTCCACTGCAGGTCTCCTGTGGGGACGTTTCTCCTGAACTCTATCTAGGTAGAGACAGGGCCATGGTTAGGGACATGGAGAGAAAGAGACAGAGTCAAGCACTACTGCTCGTATTATGTGCCTGGGGTCCGTTCCCACACATAATGGCTTTTTTCGTACAAGGACATGAAATACGGCCAAGTGCTGTGCCTTCCTCCCAAGTGCTGCTGTTGGAGCCCATCGGGGCAGTCCCTGTCTCAGTCCATCTGGTTCAGGATCTTCCTCTGGTTGGCTGACTCTCTACCTTCTCCAGAGACTGGCCCCTCATGAGAACATCTGTACAGTCCATGAGATCAAATATCTCTATCCAACCATTAAATGTCGCCATTGGCCTGACAACTCACATTTCTAAGATCAAAACCAACTCTTAACCTTCCCCCACTCACCTATACCTTCTGCCATCTCAGCTAATAACAACTCCATCTTTCTAGCTGTTTGAATGTAAAGTACATTTCACAGCCATTCTTAAGTCCCTTCTGTCGTTCACATAGCACAACCAGTGCCTCAGCCAATCTCATTAACTCTCCATTCAGAACAGAGCTAGGATCCAACACCCTTCTCCACCTGGCTTTGTTACGACATGTATTCATCTTGTAGGCGTGTCTCTGCCACCGTCAATGAATAACACTGCAATATGACTGAAGGTTACCCTGTCACCAACAAAAAGACATGGATATTCCCACTGTTGAGGAGACTGGGAGTTTGAATTCAGTGTTGGTTCTAGGGGAAGGCTTGCTATCTGTCAGCCCTGGAGAAAGGCCCTATCTCTTCAGCATCTGCCTCCTGCTTCCGTGAGCTCTCCCTGTGCCCTGGCTTCTCTCTAACCCACTCTCTGCTCTGTTCACTTGCTTACTCCCTCCCCTATATGCATTTAAATATATTCATATCTAATCTCTCAAACCCACTGCCAGGAAATCCATTCTGACGCATAATGTATCATGCAAATGTACATAGATAAGAGTTTACAGGTAAGATGGACATGCATTGTGCAGTTACCACATTTTATCTTTCTAATCTTTTCTCTATTTATTACACCTGGTGAGGTTCAGTGCATCCACCCTTTGGGTGTGGCGTCATTCTATTTTGTGCTTATGGGCCTTTGTCTTTCTGAAAAGGTTGGTCAGTTAAAGATGCTGCTGATGACAGTGTTGGACCAGTGGAATGATCACAAAGTGACCTTTGACAAGATCAACAGCTACCTCATGGAGGCCAGATACTCCCTCTCCCGATTACGCCTGCTGACTGGCTCATTGGAAGCCGTGAAGGTTCAAGTAGATAACCTTCAGGTAAGAAATGAATGTCACACATCCGTAGCATTCTTTCCACTTAAGGAAAACCACACTTAGCAAGTGTCAGCCCCATCCTGTCTGCTGAAATAGGGCCATATGCTGTTTAGATTTAGTGGCAGCCAACCCCCTTTATCTACTTGGGGTCCTTCCCCAGACCCCAGGGGATGGCTTTCACTGAAACTTGTGTCCGATGTGTGCATAGGGCAGGTAGCCAGGCAGGCAGCTGGGGCATCCAATCCTTACCTATGGCAGCTGTTCACCTGCCGGAGTTCTCCAGGCTCACGCCCAGCAAAGGAGTGGGGTTTCACCAGGTGACTCAGAAAGGCAGCTCGAAATGGAAATCTGTTGACACCAGAAAACAAAGAAGGGCATGATTTTAGCTGGCCTACTTGATACTCAGTTCCACTTTGCCTGTGGACACAGACATTTTACTTAGCTGGTATAAAACGAAAAGATTGTTAAGATTCTCTTAAATATAAAAAATGTATTTTATAAAATGCTTTTATTGTTGCCTCCCTCCTTACCTGCGGTTTGCCTGTGGTCAACCATGAGCCAAAAATCTGAAATGGAAAATTCCAGAATTGGCGATGCCTCTCTGAGTAATAGGACCGTATGTCATGCCATCATGGCGTCTGCTCCATCCAACCTGGGATGAGAGTCACCCTCTGCTCCAGCCTTTCCACAGTTACCTCCCCATCAGTCACTTAGCCAATTGGTTATCAGATTGATTTCCTAGTACCACAGTGCTTGCGATCTAGTGACCCTCCCTTTATTGAATAACTGTCCCCTTCTATTATCATTGGTGTTCGTCTCTTTCTGTGCCTCATTTATAAATTAAACTTTATCATAGGTATGCGTGTAAAATCGTCTCTCAGTATCTGTCGGGGATTGGCTCTTGGACACCCACCCACACTACCTACCCACACAGAAATCCACAGATATCCAACTCGGTGAATTCTCAAGTCCCTTATATAAAATGTCATGTCCTTGGGATCTAGCCCAGTAGGGAAAACCTCACCATCATCGAGGAAGTCCAACTTATTAGTGACCCTATAGGATGGACTGCCCCTGTGGATGTCCAAGACTGAGAATGTAACTCCTCATGGGAGTAGAAAGCCTCATCTTGCTCCTATAGAATGACTGAGTGCTTTCAAATTGCTGACCTGGAAGTAAGCGGACCAACTTGTAACAACTGCATTTGCAGGGCTCTCTAAAATGTTAGTGTTGGCATATAACCTATGCACATCCTCCCTTATAGTTTAAATCATCAACAAAGAAACAAACAAACTCATGGCCATGGAGTCAGTCCTGACTTATAGCAACCCTACAGGACAGGGCAGAACTGTCCTGAATTTTGAGACTTTAAATCTTTATGGGAGCAGACAATCTCATCTTTCTCCCACCCAGCGACTGGTAGGCTCGAACCTCTTACCTTGGATTGCCAGGTCAGTGTGTAGGCCACTACACCACCAGAGGTCCTGTAAATCATCTCTAGATTACTTATTATACCTGCTGCTGCTACTATTAGGTGTCCTGGAGTCAGTCCTAGCTCATAGTGACCCTGTGTCCAACTGAGGGAAACACTGCCTGATCCTGTACCATCGTCACAACTGTTCTTAGGCTTGAGCCTGATAATAGTGGATGCCATGTCAGTGCTCTCTCAATGGCACTTGGTGTTCCCTCTTACGGACTACTTTGGCCATGTAATTGGTTTGGTTTGTTTTTCTGAATATTCCAATCTGTGGTTGGTTAAACCCACAGATGCATGTAACCTGGGGACACAGAGCGCTGACTGTATCAGAAAAAAGCATAGTCCATGTAGGCTCCTATTACCCAAGAGTTCAGACACCTACAGGGTGGGTATCAGGACTTATCTTCTTTGGATAAGAGGAGAATACTGCTGGACATACCAGGAACCCTGGTTGCCTAGTGGTGACTCATTGGTCTGCTAACCACAAGGTCAGCAGTTCAAAACCGCCAGCCGATCTTCAGGAGACAGATGAGGCTTTCTACTCCTGTAAGGAGTCGCAGTGTCATAAACTAACGGGAACAGCTCTACCCTATCCTATAAGGTCACTCTGAGTTGGCATTGACTTGATGACGGTGAGTTTGTTGTTTTTCACTGTACATGTCAGTGTTTCCCAATGTGGGTGTTATTTCCTGCTAGCTGGAGGTGTGTATGTGGGGGGGTGGAGGGGCGGGGATTTCAGGAACAATCCAGGGAGCTGCAAAAAAATGAAGATATCTACACTTTATCCTGGATTGTGGGCTAGAGCACAAATGTCTTTAATTGCTGGGGGGACACTGAGTCTTTTTTTTTTTTTTTTAAGTTTGGGAACCCATGGAAATCTGCCCCGATAGTGTCCACTGTTGCTGCCCTGTTACATCTTCTTTTTCTCTTTTGATCTTGCTACTCCAAGCACGTTCTAAAGGATTAAAAAGAAAACAGCGAAAAATAGCCAAAATGGGTAAACTTTGTCTAAGCTCTCGAGCCGTTGTTTGCGATGGGCCCTCATTGACAATGGGGGCACACAGCAGTCTCTCCTGCACCCACTTCCTGCTTGGTGTCCCCACACCCTTGCTCACTACTGTCCCCTAGAATGTCTCTGGGCTGCTGTCACCAGAGCACTCTCTGTGAGCTCAGGGCAAGGTCTCAAAGTAGCTGCCACGACCTTGCCCTCGCCCCTGCACGCCTGGTCGGGGCCACCGCCACCTGTCACTGCTCTGCCACCTTTGGCTCAATAACACAGTGTTGTGGGCAGGGAAAGCAGGGGCAGGCAAAGCTTGAGGGACTGGGTGCCAGCAGGA